ACTTGGGACAGGTGAGTGAGTAGGTGAAACCCTCTGCAGGGAACAATCCTGCTTTGGGCAGAGGGATGCAAGGGGGTGACCCACTGGTTATCCTCTACAGCTAACTTCCCTGCCTTTCCAACCGCCATGGATGCTGGGGGCTGAATCACACTAGCCATCTGGATTCTCCAGCCCCCTCCAAGCACCCAAGTTAAGTCCTAGCCCCTCTAGGAGAGTGAAACACACCAGTGAAGGGGGCTCTGGGAAGCTTTTTGTTTAGGGTTTGTACAGTGCCTAGCACGCTGGGGCCTGGGGCAGAGGTGCCTGTTTGTACAGCGCCTAGCACGCTGGGCTCCCCTCACTGAATGCCAAGCACCCGCTGGTGGGGAGCGGAGAAGGGGCCCCCTAGGGGGAGCAGGAGTCCGGCGCAGCCCTGGACCCCCCCGCGCGGCTGCGGTGGGCGTGGGCAGCGCCCAGGGGCGGCACCGAGGCAGACGCGCCCCCTGGCCGCGCTCCAGCTCGGCGCACTAAGACAGGCTCGGCGGCTCCAGCCTGACTGACGCCGGCCGGGACTGCTGCTGCTGCTGGCCCCTGCCGCAGCCCCGTCCCCGCCGCGGCAGCGAGTGGCTGTGCGAGCCGCAGAGAGACACGCGGGCGAGGCGCGAGCGGCAGGTAAGAGCCTCCTTTCCCCTCCCCACGCGAGCCGGAGACGCGGCGTGGAGCTTCCCCGCGGCCAGGGCTGCGGCCGGCCAGGGGTGGCCAAGGCTGCCTGCAAACCTCCCGCGGCTTTGCAAACTTCTCCCTTGGCAGGAGCCTGCGGCACGTGCACGCCCCGCACCTTGGGAGGAAGGTGCCGAGACTGGCACGTTTGCATGGCAGGAGAGATGGGGAGACTGGGGGGGGACGGGACTGGACCTTTGTCAGTGTCCTGCTGTCCGTGAGCACAGGCGGGAACGCGCTCCCTGCCTGTCTGCCCGTCCCGAAACAGATCAGCTGCAGCAGGGTGTGTGCGCCTGGGGTGGAGGCTGCCGATTCTGCACAGGCATCGCTAGCTGGCCAGGCACTGATTCGGGGCACACTTTCCCGTGCTGACCCAGAAGAAAACGCCCCTCTATCTAGGGCTTTATAATTACAGTCCAGTGGAGGCAATGAAAGAAATGGCCTCTCCCATGGGGTGGTCGCGTGGATCTCTTCCATTTAATTGCTCTGTATTGTACTTACCTTGTAGGCATTTAAAAACAAAGTTAAGAATGTGCTTCTCAAGTGTTTTTAGGCTGCTACGCGGATTGTTTCCTTGTGCTAAAATACTTGATTTCCCCCCCCCCCCCTCTTTGCTGGCTGTTCCTATGCCAGATATTTGCAAGAGGGAGGGAGGGGGAAAACAGATACAGGAGACAAACTGACGCCAGTATTGTGATCGAAAGGAGGAGCACAAGGAAAAACACTTTTATGGATGGCTAAACGCTGACATGTCTTCCCACTATTATGATTTCTTTCCTTCTCATTTAGCGGAAAAAAACCCACATGGCACGTTTTGAAACACTTTTCCCCGTCACATTTCATTTTGTAGTCTAGAAATCTTGCTACTGGAAATACCTGCCAATGAGACATCAGTATTTGTCAAATTTTGTTAACACATTTGTGTAACTAGCACATCAATCTGAATCAGATCAGTGTCTTTTGGACAAGCAATTAGTGCCATTGAGCAGGATTTCCAAAACAATAATCTCAGCTATGGGAAGTCGCCTGATTTTTGTTTTTTGTTTTTTTGTTTTTTTTTAAAGCAAGCCTGGACAGCTGTAAATGGAGGAAATTCATAGTTGGTTCAATTTCTAAATTGTTATATAATATAGTGGGTGACTTCCAGATATGTGTACTTTCAGTCTAAATGTATATGAACTGTTACCAATGGTACTTGCTTTAAAGGATTCTCATTAATGTGAATGAAAATGAAGAATACATGTATAATTAAATGTTTACTCCAGTGGTTCTCAAACTTTTGTACTGGTGACCCCTTTCACATAGCAAGCCTCTGAGTGTGACCCCTCCTTATATATTAAAAACAGTTTTTTTTATATATTTAACACCATTATAAATGCTGGAGGCAAAGTGGAGTTTGGGGTGGAGGCTGACAGCTCGTGACCCCCCTATGTAATAACCTCACAACCCCCTGAGGGATCCTGACCCCCAGTTTGAGAACCCCTGGTTTAGTCTAAATAGATATAAGGAAAAAATAAATTATTGACAAAAAATAGGCAACCTCTCAATGAATGAGTTTTCCCTTAAACTCTTAGAAGTAGGAAATAAGGTACAAGTTCTTGGACTGTATTCAGGTTTGGGGTTGTGCAGGAAGGACAGTGCAGATAAGACAAAGATTCAGTACTTTATAAATGAGATGCACGTAAGAACATGCTTATAAATGTTAGGAGCACATTATCTTCTAATCTTCTGTGGTGTAATCTAAAAGAAGTACTGTAAAATTTGTCTGTGAGCACAATGAATCCTCATAGCAACAGCTTGGACAACTGTCATCTCTCAAAGTTCATCCTTTTTATTCAGCCAGACGACTCCCTTCTTTTAGATTTGATAGGTACCAATGCCATTGCTGATCTGCACTAACATTTGTTGGCTGGTTTCAGAATAGCAGCCGTGTTAGTCTGTATCCGTAAAAAGAACAGGAGTACTTGTGGCACCTTAGAGACTAACAAATTTATTTGGGCATAAGCTTTCGATGAAGTGGGCTGTAGTCCACAAAAGCTTATGCTCAAATAAATTTGTTAGTCTCTAAGGTGCCACAAGTACTCCTGTTCTTTTTATTTGTTGGCTGGTTTGTGTTTGTTTCCTATTTGCTTTTAAAACAGGGAAGTAATTTTTACGACATTTCCTTTGTTATACCAGTTCAAATAAGTATATATCAGCAAAGTTTTTGGTAAATGAAATTTGTTGAGAAATATATATAGCTATATGTTTACTGAGGTCTACAGTGGTTTCAGTTTCTCATC